TTTCTGTGGGTGGCATGGTCACTTTCTCTTTCCTGGCTTAAGGTCGAGCCCCTCCCTGCTCAGCAGTGGGGGGTCTGTGCTGCAGGGCCAGCTGAGTAGGGGCTGCAGTGTGCTGGGATTGGAGGGCTGTGCTCCCAGGGACAGGAGCCCTTCCCAGGGGCAGGGGCAGGCACTCTGTGAGACCCCAGGGATGGGGAGCAGGAAGCAATCTTAGCCCAGACCCCCAGGGTTCACGTGTGCCCCTTGGGCTGTTCCTGCCTGTGCTACTACTGAAGTCTGAAAGCACAGTTCACAATCCCATAAGGATGGGTCATTGGATCCTGCAGACACAGCCACCAGAGGTTTGCTCTCCAGCCCCCATCTTGGACTTATTGCTTGGGGCAGTATCTCACTCACCCTGGATCCAGGCAAATCCCACTTTCACGAAGCCTCCCTCAGTCCAGTTTGCCTCCAGGTGTGTTATCCAACTACATCCTCTGCTGGGGATGCATCCACCCACCTTCCTCTCTGCCTGTGAGCACTCTCCCATCCTTAGAGCCCATCCAGATGTCCTCTACTCCTGACTACCCAACTCACAATGTTGGACCTGCACTTTTAATATTGGGGTTAAATAGCCCTCCTCTGCATGGGCACTTTTCCTGCTGCCCTTTTGCCCCATTGGTGGTGTGGGGGACCCAGAGTTCTCCTCACACCAAGTGCAAGCTCATTCATCTATCACTAGCTGGACAAGGACCAAAGCAGCCAGAGAGAAAAGCTTTTGAGAGCAGTGAAGGGGCCACATGCCCATGTCCTTGAGCTCTGAAGGCTTATCCATCTTCCAGAAGTCAAGAAAAAATATATACATTCAACCGTTTTCTAACAGTTTAATGCAGAAAGTCTCAGATGCACACTGGAGCAGAAAGAAGAGTGACCCACCCCAGCCTCCAGGTGCTCAGTGTCTGCTGGCCTCAAGGCTGTGTCACTATGCATCCTCAAGGTCACTGTCAGCTGGGACCCGCTGGACATCGCTGCATGTAAACAGCCTGGTGTTGTCACCTGGCAGGTCCTTGAAGTGGTTTTGGTCACTCACATTTCTCAGGCACTTCATTCCCTGCCTGTTTTCAGACTCAGCTTTTTAGCAACAGAGCCCCTTTCCAAACAAACCTTGTCTCCAACCTTGATGGTCAAAACAGATGACGTGGTATTGGCTCATAATTACTAACAGAGTTTACTTTTATATCATTTACATATGAAGTCAATTTGCCAATGGGAAAGAACCCTGAAACTTCCATAATGAATATGAAGATTTACATTTTGATAATGATGACAGTGCTCCACTTCCTCTTATCGCAACAGTCCTTTTAGGTTGAAACATCTTCAGAAACCACTGGGTCACACAGGTAAGCCATTGCTATGGTAACAGATTTTTATCTTGTTTTTACCCATTTGCCTTGTGATCTCAAGAGTCTCTCAAATTAAATTGATCCAAGTCCATGGAGAAAGAGCTGTAAGAAAATTTTTTCTTTTAGAATCGAATGACTAACAGATGCTCACAGTCTTTATTATAAGTGAAAAAATCAGACAAGACACCCATGCTTAAAATAAGCAAAACTATGCAAGCATTGCACTGTGCTTTCTGCTGCTGCTGCTGCTGCTACAGAGATGGAAACGGGGCCAAGTCAGATGCAGATTCTGTGCTGGGATTGTAGGATCGAACGTGAATTTTTTAAAAGAGCAGTGCAAAACTGAAATCTCACCGGGTGACTCATTTCCAAGAGTTTCAAATACATGCATAGTCATGACAAGAGGAGTTTTAGCTTCACTTTCACCAGAGTAGTTGTTAAACAGGTCAAAATACCAGCGTATGAATTAATATACTGATAGTGTCTGAAGAGTTAAAATTTTGTGAGCAGTCATTTGAGAATGTTTGAAACTGCTGTTAGCATTTTGAAGCACAAGGAAAAGAAAATATTGTAATCATATGTTTGCAGGAACCTCAAAGCATCTCTGCCGAGTATCAGGGGTCCACAGATCGTAATTTAAAAATCACAGTAAAATCCAGGGTGAGTTTGTGAAGGTCCACGTTCTTAGCTATTTGGTGCCCAGTCACTGTTTATGTCTCATTATGTCTCATTAATTCTCATTAAGACAGTCGGGTCCAGACTGTATCCTGCCTCATCCTCTCTCCTGAGTGTGTTTGGAAGTGAGGGGATGCTCATGTCCTTTTCACTCTCAGATGATTATCTATCTGTGATGTCTCAGTCTCCCTCCCTGCCCTCTGTCTTTAAGCTTCATCACATTTTTGTTTCATATTCAAGCCATGACTTTCTTGTACAGTTTTTTTTCCCCTGAAGTTTCCAGTGCTTTTTTTTTTTTTAAGATTTTTTAAAAAGCCATGTGTCCTTAATCAAATCCGTGGTGTTTTTCGTGGTTGTTATTCTCTTCACTGGTCTGAATCCTCATCACTCTCTTCAGACACCACCCATATCTTGCTGTAATTTGGAAACCACCCCTTTTTCTAGACCCACTGCACAGCTCATCAGGAAAATCCCTTCTCTAGACCTTTAGGTTTAGTTTGAAAGCTTATTTCTTCTTTCTTAGTATTCACCCTTTGTTTTTCTGGAGCTGATCCTCAAGTCCATGACCAAGAAAATATACATGGAAAACAAGCTGACACCTTCACATTCTTGAAAATACCTCTGATTGCCTTCATGCTGGAGTGGTTTCTTTCAGCTCTAGAATTTCTCTGTATGATTCTGTTACTGAGTCCAAACTTATTCTGCTTATCGTATGACAGGCCAGTAAATCCAATAAATCAGGAGACGAGGTGTTGGAACAAGGAATAGCAACTTTATTCAGAAAGACATTAGACTCAGAAGATGGCAGACTAATGTCCTGGAGAACAATCTTCCCCAAGTCAGAATTCAGGCTATTTTTATGTTAAAAAGGGGAGGGGTTGCTGTTGGTTGTTGCAAACTTCTTGGTGTTAAAATCCTTTGTTGTTGCAGCTGTCCAGGTAGGTCAGGTCACAATGTTTCTGTAAACCTCCAACAAGACAATTGTTACTCTCTGTTCTACAACTTTTTATCTCTATATGAATCAAAAAGTAACACCCTTCAAAGTCAGAGCCTTGGGAATGGTCTTTCCTGTCTATTTCAGGCTCAAGGCAACATTCTTTTACAGAAGGTGCAGAACCAGCAGGACTAAGCCCAGGAAACAGAGCGCAGGGTTAGAACCAAAGGAACAGATCTAATGTGGAGTCGGATTTGTTCTTCCCTGTTACAACTCCTCTCCCCTCCCCTCTCCCTGATGTCTCTTCTGCTTCTGTTGAGTGAGGTCCCCTGGCCTTTACTCTGAGGTCTTCGTCCTTTCTGGTCTTGCATTTTTTCTTCTCAGTGATTCTTATCAGCCAAACTTCCCACCCACTTATAAAGATGTGTTTCAGAGACCATATTTTAACTTCCAGGTTGTCCTTTGTTTTTCTAAATGCAATATCCACTTGAATTTTTGTGAGGGTATTGCTTTTTTAAGAGGTAATTTTTCATTCCTTTCATTGACTGTTTCTTCTTGGATGCTTTCTGCCCCTGTCCTTGGTTATGTGTCTCACGTGGAAGGCTTTCTTCAAACATCTGATGGTTGTGACTGTCCCAGTTAGAGGACATTGGTGCCAGAAAGGCTGTGGAGGCTCCATGGACGTGGGTGGCCCTAAGCAGAGGTCCTCCAGTCCCCAGAATGAAGGGAACCTAACTCGTGGTGCTGCCACCTTGACTGGCTGCTTACCTGTTCTTGAGGCATGGGAACTTTTTTATTTATGTGTAGGGCGACGTTTTAAGGATACGTTTTAATCAGGTAAGATGAAGACACAGAAATGATGGTCAGGAAGGAAGGAAATTTATACTCACAGTTCCCTAGAAACAAAAGCAGGGCTCGCTGTGCAGGGCCACACAGGGAAATGCTGGGGTCGGTCAGAAGGAAGAGAGTGTGAGGCGGAAACGTAGTCCAAAGCTTTTATTGTCATTTCCGTGGAATGGAACTGGGGAGGCTGGGTAAACAGGACTAGGGCTGGGAATACTTTTGGTGGGCTCTGGTGCGTATGGGCTGTCCTTGCTTGTCTGACGCCTGGCCCTGGGCTGATTAGGGCAAGTGGATGGTGGCCTGGAGGGTGAGAGCCCCGTAAAGGAGGTAATTGGTTGGTTTGTATTTGAGACACACGCTTATGAATGAGTCATTTGCTATCTTTAGGAATTGGCTGACCTGGGGCAGGGGTGCAGGGTGGGGACAGTTCCTCCAGGGTTAGCAAGGTCCCAGATGTCAAAGACATGGAGAACAAGGGATGTTGGTCTTAATTGTGTTTTCTTCCTGTTCTATGGCCTTCCCCTTTTCCAGGGTGGTAATTCCAGGCTACAGGAGATCCTGACTGTGGGCAGGGAGTGGGGATAGGGTACATTCATCCAAACGTGATGGATCTGATTCTGCTGTCTCCACCTGGCCTCCTCTAATCATGGAACCTGGTACCCCACTAGGGTGCCCAGCTCCCTCCTGCACCTGTCACGTCAGTCATTCAAGATGGATTTGTCAAGTACCAGCCGAGCTTTGGGCTCATTCAAGGGGCTGGAACTAGAGCTCTGAACACAGAGGGTTCAGACCCCACCCTCCCAGGCTGAGAGGGGTGCTGGACTTCCACCCACTCTTTCTCCTGCAGATAGATTGAAACTTCTCAGGGGCTGATGGCCTCCTAAGTTGTCTTTCAACTCTCATTTCTGCTAAGAGCTTTATATCCATATGGGGAAAATCAGAGTTCATATGAAACAAGGGGATGGCCATTGATTCCTGCCCTCTGTGCTCTGGGAAGACCTTCCAGGTCAGCTGCAGATGGGGCTCTCAGACCACGGCCGGCTGTCCCGTCTGCCAGCAGCAGCCCGTCTCAGAGCTGCTCGGACCACAGTCACAACAGCCCTAGGGGCACTGGGAAGCCCTCTGCCTGGCAGCGGTGGCTCACGAGATCCTTGTCCTGTTTCTAGTGCTGATGAGCGGTTTGACGCTACGTTCCACACCAATGTGTTGGTGAATTCTTCTGGGCACTGCCAGTACCTCCCTCCAGGTAAGGTCCACTCCCTTTGTCTCCTGCAGTTAGACGGAGTGCGGGGTTGGGGGTGCTGTCCCCAGGGTGCTCACGGGAGCAGCGGGCCAGCTCTGTGGTCTAGGCATCCTTTGCCGCCTTCACACCCACCACTCCTCCTCTGCCTGCACATCTTCCCTGAACATGACAGTGCCATAATCCTCTTTTTCGTCTTGGGATCCCGGCTCAAGCTGTCTTTGCCACCAGGCGTCCTGTGTCCTTATTGTCTGTTGTGTGTTCCTTAAAGTTCAGCCACCACTGAAGCATCTCCCTTGTCAGGTCATCTCCACTCCCCTGACAACCTCCAGACCACATCCTGCACCACAGCCCCCGATTCCCTTTCTGCCACACCGGGTACCTTGGCAGGTGCTGCCCTCCAGGTGCAGGGGTTGGGGAGATGGTGAACCTGTGGACTGGCTTCCTGAGTGTGTGCTTGGGATAGCACTTGCTTTTAGATGTGAGACCAAGTATTTTCAAAGGGGATCATCAGTGATTTCTTGCTGAAAGTCCATTCCTTCCCAAATCACTGATGGCTGATCTTCCTGGGACGGAATCTCTTCCCACCAGCCCAGTCACTGCGGTCAGTTCCCAGGGGGCTGGGCTACTCACTTAGTAACCTGCACGATGGGAAATCGGGCTTCATGGCCTCGAGGGTTTTAACAATCTTTTAGATGATTTTTCACGTGTTCTTTTCCAGGATGATTACCCCACTGCAACTGTTTCTTTAACTTTCTGCTCTCAGGCGACCTGCAGCCATCTCCCATCTCACCACATCCACCCACACCACACACACACCACACACATCTCCCAACCACATCCACGCACTCACCACACACAGACGCAAACACACATATACACCCACATGCACACACATCACCCACCAGACACATACATACACACACAACACCACACATATATACACATCACACCAGAAACACACCACACAGCACACACTCATACACACACACACACCCTCTCCCCCGCAGTCAGCCCAGCCTTGCACGCCCTGAGTCATCTCACGGCAAAGCTGGCCCTGCCTCCTGGGTTCTTGTCTCCATGCTCTGCCTCCTTAGCAGGCCCTGAGCCTCCCGCAGGTGGTCTGTGTGTAACTCACCTTAGAACCACCGGTCCTCACCCTGGGGCCGGGCCCATGCGTGAATAAACATGTGCTGAGTGATCAAACCCGCACAGGCAGACACCATCCGCTCTTGTCTCTGGATTTTGGGGTTTTTTGTCTTAAAGCCTGTGCTTCCTTGCTACTCCCCTGGCCCTTCTCCCCTCCCACGGCCACACGTGCCTTCGTCCTAACATCCTCCAGGATGAGTCTTCCACCGCAATCATGTTTTTGTCCCCAGGCTCGAAATTTGCAGCTTCTCTCACCAGGGCTCTTTAGGACAAAGACCTCCAGTAGTCACCAGTGACTGGTGATGTGGGTTGCTTTGCAGGCAGGGGCTATTTTCAGCCACAGGAGCAGCAGTCCTGACCCCCGAGCTGCCTGTGTCCGGCAGTCCTCAGGGCTCCACGCCTGCACTCCAGCCTCCACTGGGAGGGGCGTTGTGCTTTGACTGTGGGGGTCTGCCCTCCCCTGGTCGGGGGAGCACAGTGCCGTCTGGTTCCCAGCAGCCAGCCTGTACCCGGGCAGTGCAGACCTGATCTAGGAAGCGGCCCTGCCCGCACAGCTAAACACAGGCAAAAGGCATTTCAGGTGCAAGCTTGGTCACAAAATGACTTTTTTCCCTTTTCATATTCTAAAATTTTTAACAACTTTATGGAGGTACAAGTTCCGTATCATACAATTTACCCATTTCAGGTGCGGGATTCCATGATTTTTAGTAAAGGCACAGGGCTGCACCACCATGGCTACCATCCAGGTCTAGAGCATTTTCCATCACCCTCCAAAGACCCCTTTTGCCTTTTGGCAGCTACTCCCCACCCTCAGGCCAGCCCTTGGGCAACTAGTGATCTGCTTTCTATCCCTAGAGAGTCTCTTTCTCTGGGCATCTCATTAAAATGGAATAATCCAGTTATAGAGGTGCGTCTTCTACAAGCAGTGTGAGTTTGGGGGAAATCCAACCCATTAATGAGAAGGCAGTGTCTATAATGATGTCCAGAGTCCAGTGGACATTGGATATAATGCTGCAAATTCTGTTTAAAGGAATTTGAGGAGATAGGATGTTTATTATCCTTTCACGATTTGGCTGTGGGTGAGGGGTTCATGTCTGCAATGCTATTGAGTCCTTCCTCCACTTATGTTTTTAAATTTGGTAGCAGAAATTGACAAAGTGCCTGTCCTGTCCCCATGAGCACTGGGACCCTTAGTGTTTTATGTCATCGTTGCTTTCTGGTCCTTCTCTGGGCAGAGAGTTACACGTGGACACAAATGGTTGCAGTGGGCTTATCTGTTCTCCTCCCAGTGACCAGCTGGGAAATTCACCTCCCACTTGTCTTGTCTCTCTTTTCAGTAGAAATGCTAGCTTTTGCCCAGACACCATCTCTGCAACTTAAACTTGTCAGTCCTTGTTCTGTTCCTAGACACCTGCACCCCAATGTTCATAGCGGCACTGTTTACAATAGCCAAGACATGGAAACAGCCTAAATGTCCATCAACAGATGACTGGATAAAGAAGACGTGGTATATTTATACAATGGGATACTATTCAGCCATAAAAAACCGACAACATAATGCCATTTACAGCAATTGGATGTCCCTGGAGAATGTCATTCTAAGTGAAGTAAGCCAGAAAGAGAAAGAAAAATACCATATGAGATTGCTCATATGCGGAATCTAAAAAAAAAGAAATGAACATAAATACAAAACAGAAACAGACTCATAGACATAGAATACGAACTTGTGGTTGCCAGAGAGGGCAGGGGGTGGGAAGGGACAGACTGGGAATTCAAAATTTGTAAATACTGACAGGCATATGCAGAATAGATAAATAAAATTATACTGTATAGCACAGGGAAATATATACAAGATCTTGTGGTAGCTCACAGTGAAAAGAAATGTGACAACGACTATATGTTTGTTCATGTATAACTGAAAAATTGTTCTCTACACTGGAATTTGACACAACATTGTAAAATGACTATAACAATAAGAAAAGTGTTTTAAAAAAAGAAAGAAACACTTAAAAAATAGAATTGAAACTAATTAAAAATATATTCCACATTTATTTCTAGATAACCAAGGATTTTTCTCAATTTTTAACCTAAAGAAAATGCTCACCCCACTCTTCACCAAAGACAGAAACACACACACACCACAGAGACACACACACACACCTCTTTCTGATTCTGTTTCTAAGCTCTTTATCATTTTTATCAGCTTCTCTGGGATTTTTTTACGTTCTTTACTTTTATCATTTAGAATTTGAGGATGCACGTTGAAGGCCAGAGCAGGTTTACAGAACTTCTGATTCTCTGCACAGAAATCCCACAGAACAGAGAATGTTGGTTTAGTCTGGGAATTTTAAAAGACAGTAATGCTTCTGCTGAACTTCTCTAGAGATTTTTCCAAAAAACACCCAGCTTGCCCAGGGCAGGTCTAGCTGAAGGCTAGGGCTGAAGTCCTCTCAGGTCTCACCAGGTGAGAGGCCCCAGTGTCCACACTGACTGTTCCTGAAGGGAGCATGACTGAGCCAGAAGGATGTGTGCCCAGTACTGATCATGAGACGTGCAGATCATCAGATGCACGGCGGCGTTTAACCCGCCGGCCCTTTATCAGGCCAGCAAGCTTTTCTCTCCATGAAGACTAGGCTTTGTGTATGATGAACAGTGCATGAGTTGGAGACCAAGAGATTGCTGTGCATTTATTTTTTTATTTTTAATTTTTCCAGCATCATGGAGATATAGTTGACAAATAAAACTGTAATGTATATATGTATATGTATATATTGTGAAATCATTTCTTTCCACAATCAGGTTATTTAACACATTCAGCATCTCACCTAGTTACCTGCTACTCTCTTAGCAGACTTCAAGTATACAATATTATTAACTGCAGTCACCATGCTGGTCATTAGATCCTCAAAACGAATCCATCTTAGAACTGAAAGCTTATGCCCTTTGATCAACCTGTCTCCCATGTCCTCCACCCTCCAGCCCTTGGCAACCGTCATTCTACTCTCTGTTTCTACAAGTTCAACTTTTTTTTCAAATCCTGCCTATAAGTCATATTTTACAGTATCTGTCTTTCTGTGTCTGGCTTATTTCACTGAGCATAATGCCCTCCAGACTTACCCATGCCATTGCAAATGGGCAGAATTTCTGTCTTTTAAAGGCTGAGTGATATTCCATATAATCCATATACATAAATATTTATCTGTTTATCTGTCAACAATCACTCAGATTGCTACCATGTCTTAGCTATTACGAGTAATGCTGGGTGCATTACTGACAATATGGTACAATACTGACATGGGTGCAAATATCTCTTTGAGGTACTGATTTTCTTTCCTTAGACTCTATTCCCAGGAGTGCGATTGCTGGATCAGTTGGTAGTTCTATTTTTAATTTTTTGAGGAGCCCACCTACTGTTTCCATAGTGGCTGCGCCAGTCTGCATTCCCACCAACAGTGTGAGACTGCTGTGTATTTAAAGCACGTCTCAGCCAGCACCCATTTTGGTCTGTTTCTGTTGCCCGCATAGGCATATTCAAGAGCTCCTGCTACATCGACGTGCGCTGGTTCCCCTTTGACGTGCAGCAGTGCAAGCTGAAGTTCGGGTCCTGGTCTTACGGAGGGTGGTCCTTGGATCTACAGATGCAAGAGGCAGACATCAGCGGCTATATCCCAAATGGAGAATGGGACCTTGTGGGTAAGCCCCGCAGAGACGTGACACTAGCAGCCTAGAAGGAAGCTGCTTTATTCCTGGGCCAGCTTGAAAAGTTTGGGATTTTCCACTCTGCTTTTCAGCGTGAGCAGGTACTAAACCCTGTAGCATTCTCCATGATTTACTGAGAACTCTAGGATGAAAAACAAAACAAACAAACAATTAGACAATTACGTGTTTTCCATGAGGAACTTGCAGCAGTGGTAAGGTCACATTTAAACAAGTCAGTGCCAGGATTGACATCCCAGCGCTACTGGAATCTGCACCATCCCTAAAAACTAGGTGGGACAGCAAACCATAGGGAATCTACACTGGATGGTATTAAATAGGAAGACAAGCATTGCATTTATAACGGGGTCGAGTTTACAATGTATTATGTATAATCACGGTGTCTCAGTCCGTCCAGGCAGCTATAACAGAATATCGTAGATTGGGTGGCTTATAGACAACAGAGATTTATTTCTCATAGTTTGAAGGCTGGGAGTCCAGGGTCAAGACACTGGAGATTCGGTGTCTGGTGAGGACCTGCTTCCTGGTTCATAGACGGCATCTTCAGGCTGTATCTTCACGTGGCGGACGGGACTGGGGGCTCTCTGGGGTCCTTTTTATAAGGGTGCTAATCCCACTCATGGGGTCTCCACTCTCATGACCTCATCACCTCCCCAAGGCCCCACCTTCAGATACCATCACTTGGGTGGAGGGGGTTAGGATTTCAACATATGAATTTTGGGGGACACAGTCTATAACACATGCAATTCCAATACATTAAAAAAACTGTCAATTTGTTCAAATATCACTGAGATATTCTTAAATAAACATAGTAAACCAAAAGCTGTTACTCAATTAGCCAATGTTTTCGCACTTAGCAAATCCCATGACTCTGTGTATGTGTTGTAACCCGTTAAAGTAAACGGAGTAATTTTGTTCAGTGGTGGTTCCTTCCTCCCCCCAAAACAAAGGAATCCCAGGCAAGCGGAGTGAGAAGTTCTACGAGTGCTGCAAAGAGCCGTACCCCGACGTGACGTTCACGGTCACCATCCGCCGCAGGACCCTCTACTATGGTCTCAACCTGCTCATCCCCTGTGTGCTCATCTCAGCCCTGGCCCTTCTCGTCTTCTTGCTCCCTGCAGACTCCGGGGAGAAAATCTCCCTTGGTGAGTATGGAGTCGGAGCTGGGCTGGAAGGCACCTACCCTGAGGGCAGCTCTGGAGGGCTCCCTGTAGGCAGTGGTCAGGGCTCTAGTGCAGAGAGGTTGCAGGACCACTGTTCAGGGCATCCCAGCCCAGGGAGGCTCCCTGATACAGCCCTGTGCTGGATGGCCGTGCCCTCCTGAGAGTCCACGGACTCCTCTGATGCTGCACAGAGGATGGGGATGCCCAGGAAGGTACCAGTTCTTCATGGAGGGCCCTGTGCCTTCCACGCTCCTGCCACCCTACCCCGCATCTCCATGGCAACCAGCCAGCATCCGTTGTGGGCTGGATGCAGTTTAGTTTCATCCAGTACCAGCTTTCACTTAGATATCGCAGTGCACGGGTAATTCCTTATGATCATCCAGAGAAAACTACAATTTAGACTGGCAAAATTAGTCCTTCAACAGCTCAGAGGGTTACTAAAGATCATATTTGGTGCCTGTAGAAATCATTCTCTTTTGCTTTTTTTTCTTTTAGTGGTGGCACTGTGAATGAACCCAGGACCTTGTGCATGCTAAGCACATGCTCTACCACTGAGCTGCTATCTTCCCTCCCAGAAATCATTCTCAGCCCCACAACCTTGACCACAAGGCTGGGGCACATTAAATGACTTTTCCAAGGGCACACAGCTAGTAAGCAGTAGAGTCAAAACCAAAAATCAGGCCTTCAAATCACATTTTCTTTTTCCCCCTACATGAAACTATGTCTCAACACTAATGTAATAAAGGAAAGGTGAGATCTGTGTGCTCAGATTCACAATCCATTTTGCATTGTTCTTCTAAAGTTCTGGCTCCTAAGTTCACCTCCCAAGTAACTCCTCTGGGACTCTGGTGAATGACGTGGACTGTCCCCAGAAAAATGCCCATTCCCATAAAGAGAGAAGACCAGGCATTGGGTTTCAGTAATGTCCTGTCTACCACTGCCCCTCCTCCAACACCTCCTTTGGCTCTCAGGCCAGATGGGATTCAGGCCTTACTGTCTGTTCTGTCTCAGGTGCCCCTGTGTGTCTGTGTTTCAGGGATCACAGTTTTGCTCTCCCTGACTGTCTTCATGCTGCTGGTGGCTGAGATCATGCCTGCAACGTCTGACTCAGTCCCCTTGATAGGTAAGCAGGCATCTGGCTCCTCTAAAGACAGGGGCTTAGAGAGCGCCTGGGGTTTCCTAGCACAGGCAAAGAGCAGAAACCCGTCCTCCAGGGCTCTGGAGAGCTGCCTGGCCCCCTTTTCCTGCTGTTATGTGATGATCTGCTATAGCTACTCAGAGTGACCCATGGCCTGTGCTCACCTGGGCACATGTAAGGGGAGGATGGGTCTGGCTTTGTGGTGTGGCTCTGCAATGCAGAAATGGCCCACCTTCCTCCCACAATCCTCCCTCTCCCAATTGTTATGGAGCTGGAGATTTTTACCATTAGAGATTCATTGTTTTATCTTGAGTTGCCATTTTTTCACAAATTCTTTGTCACACTTTAAGCCTTAGCCACTGTTTCCTGAGATGACTCAATGTTGCAGTATAAAGTTAAAGCTTGTGAAGGCAGGTGAACAGGACAAATGTGTTTCGGCCAAGGGTTGGGCTGTGTCCCACAGGCCTGCAAGCACTGTACTTGCCCAGCCTCAAGACCAAAGAAAGAGCCCAGAGTCAGCAACAGAGACATGAATAGTTTAATAGATGGGAGATCTTACATGTCTGAAGCAAAAGGGACCTGGAGCAGCACCACACCATGGACGGCAGACAGCAGAGGGCAGGCAGGGCATGGGAGCAGTAGCCTCTGCTCGCTGGGGAAGAGAGAGACCAGTTAGCGGGGGATTGATGTCATTGGTCCATCGGTTACCAGGGAAACCAGCAGAGGGGCACAGCCCCTCAGGCTAAGTACCTTCATGGGGCAGAGGTCTTCCCTTTGTTAAACTATCAAAAGGGAGCCTTTCTGATGGATAGATGTGAGTAAGGTGTCAGTGATGAAGGAACCGGTCTAGCAGGGGATGTACGGAGAACAAGAGAACAGCTGTCTTGGGTGGCCTGACCGCACACCAGGACGGGTGTCTGGCATGACCTTCTGCTCGGGAGAGGATGCCAGGAACAGGAGGCAGCATCACCTGTTGCCATGTACCTCTCTGGGTAGGAATAAGCAGGAGCATGTGAAGGGGTGCTCAGTGGTCTAGGGGTTAGGATCCAGGACCCTCCCCGCTGCAGCCAGGGTTCTGTTCCTGGTCAGGGAGTGAGATCACCAGGCCAGTTGTGAGGACCAGAAGCAAACAGTCTGCCAGCAGTTATCAGGTATGAGATCCCCACTCCCGTTTGGTGATGGAGGTCAGAGACAAGAAAGCCATCCGTACTGGCAGCAGCCCTGTGTGGGTAGCCAGGGGTAGGTAGGTTAACCAAGGCGGGGCCTTACAGGGACACCCTGGGCTTCATGAATTAAGAAGCCAAGGCCTTGCTTTTTGGAGCTTCCTGGATGTGTAATGTTTTGACCAGAGAGACTGTTGGTATAAAAAAACCTCTGTGTTTGTTGGATTTCTCTCAGGACCATCCAGGGAGCCAGGAATCATCTTTCAATCTGACATTCTGACCCCCTTTCTACCTTCCAACACGGGGGCTTTCAACAGCAACTTGCAAAAGAAGCTGCCCTTCACAGGGCAGACGGCAGGCCCTGCCTTGCCGGATGAACCCATGGGAACTGGCTTGGGTGATGCATAGCTCAGGTCTAGAAGGATGGGATGCTGTTGGCCTTTGACCTGTGTCCTTGACCCTGGATCCCTCCTTAGGTCACTGTGTTAGTTTACTAAGGTGCTGCAGTAAAGTTCCACAGCCTGGGTGGCTTACACAAGAGAAGTTCATTGGCTCCCAGTTCTGGGGGCTGGAAGTCCAAGATCAAGGTGCTGGCAGGGCTGGTTTCTCCTGAGATCTCTCTCCTTGTCTTGCAGCAAGACAGGCACCTTCTGCTGTGTCCTCTCATGGTCTTTCCTCTGTGTCATCACATCCCCTGGGCCCCTTTGTGTGTCCACATTTCCCCTTCTTGTATGGACAGGCACCACACTAACAATCTCATGCTAATTTAATCACCTCTTTAAAGACTCTCTCTCCAAATACAGTCACATTCTAAGGTACTCGGGGCTCAGAGCTTCAACATATACATATTAAGGGGACACAATGGAGCCCATCACAGTCACATTTGGGGTCCCCCGTCCTTCCCCTTCCTGGAGGTCCCTGATGCTGACTTTAAGTCTCAGATGTCCACCTCTGTCAGCTCCTTGCAGGTTCCTCTTGGTCTCCATGGGAGAGCAGTGGGTGGCTTCCAGCCTGGAGGGCAGGAGACATTTTTAATCAAGTGTGTTGCTGCACACTTAGCCTCTGAACCAGGAGGCTTTGTTGTAGAGCTCAGCCCCTTGGGAGACCACCCGCTGAAGATTTAGTAACCAGAGTTGGCTATTATGGAGTGCCTTCCATGCCAGCGTTCTCCTACACCCTTGGCCCATGGAATCACTAATCCCTGCACCAACCGTGCAGAGAAGGCACTTCCACCCCTGTTCTGCTCATGAAGACCCAGAGGCCTGGAGAGGCTGAGCAGCCTGTCAGGCTCGCGGATGGCAGGCAGTGGCTGGAGTGGGCAGGGGAGAGGGGAATCTATGCTGCTTTTCCTGGGACAAGGTGGAGAAATGCCTCCTTGCCCAGCAGAGCTTGAGGCTCGTGTTCTCAGCCTGAAAATGTGGCAGGAGAGGGAAACGTCATGTCCTGGGACCTGCAGGAGTCCTCAGGATGGACCCGCCAAGCGAGGGATCTTGGTTTTGCACAGGAAAGAATTAAAGAGTGAGTCAAAGAAAAGTGAAGGCGAGATTGTTTAGAGAGATTCAAGCTCCATAGACAGAATGTGGACCGTCTCAGAAAGTGCAAGCGCCCTGAGGCGTGGGGGCGTCTGGGAGAGGGAGGGCGGCCCCGGGGCATGGGGTTTGAGGTTTGCACGGGTTAAGTAATTTCACAGGCTAATGAGTGTGAGGAACCTTCTTGCTATTTCAGGGAAGGATAGGTGTTTCCCAGGAATCGGACCATTGCCCACTTGTTGGCCTTTTATGGTCTGCCTTGGAACTGTCACAGCATCAGGGCGAGTGATTTTCAATATGACAGGGAAGGTATGGTGAGATAAAGGTTGGTCACCCGACTAGTGTCAGAGCCACCTTTGTTTCACCTGGTTCTAGCCAGTCTTTATCACATCCCAACAGCTGCACCCTGTTTCATTCGTCCAGCCTTTGTGTCCTGCCCCTTTCCCCCCTGTCTCAAAAAGACAGTGCAGCGGACCTCTTGCTCAGGATGGGCAACTGGCATTGCCACCCCTCCATGGCTCTTGGTTGATGGAGCCAGACTCTGCCTAAGTAGTCATTTTCCAGGTCTGATAAGACAGGCGGGGGGGGGATGCCCAGGTCTTCCCTGTGAGACCCCCACAGCAGGTCTGTGTCCTGCAGGCATCACAGTGGTGAGGTTTCTGATAATGGTCCATGTGCTTCCTCATGGAGCAACCTACTCTCCATCCTGTGAGGTGCTGTTCTTCCTCACTGAAGAAGGAGGCAGACAGAGCGCCCAGGAATGTGGTTAGCAGGACAGGAGGCAGGGCTCTGTGCCCTGGGCTGGTCTCTGCCCACCAGGAATGTGGGCGGTGGGCTGCAGGCTGGGAGGGAGTCCTGCTCTACTCTCAGGCATCGCTCCCCAGCCCGTGATGGTCAGAACGCCCGGTCTAGGTCCACCTACACTGTGACACTGTGACACTCCATGCCCGAGGCCCCAGGTCTCACCTGCATCTGTTCTCTCTGCAGCCCAGTACTTTGCCAGCACCATGATCATCGTGGGCCTCTCTGTGGTGGTCACGGTGATTGTGCTGCAGTACCACCACCATGACCCGGACGGCGGCAAGATGCCCAAGTGGGTGAGTTCCTCCTTCCCTCCTCCACTGGAAGTGGAGCAAGTCAGGGACACTCCCTATAGGAGGCATCAAGGATGACTTACCTATTTTAAAAACCTCACAGACAAGTGGGCAGAAGACCTAAATAGCCATTTCTCCAAAGAAGGCATCCAGATACCCAACAGGCATATGAAAAGATGCTCAATATCACTAATTATTAAAGAAATGCAAATCAAAATTGCTATGAGCTATCACCTCACACCAGTCACAATGGCTATCATTAAAATTCTAGAAATAATAAGTGCTGGAGAGGGTGTGGAGAAAAAGGAACCCTCCTGCACTGTAGGTGGGAATGTAAATTGGTGCAGCCACTATGGAGAATAGTATGGAGGTTCCTTAAAAAACTGAAAATAGGCTTACTATACTGTCTAGCAATCCCACTCTTAGGCATATATCTGGAGAAAACTATAACTTGAAAAGACACCTGCACCCCAGTGTTCACAGCAGCACTATTCACAATAGCCAAGACATGGAAACAACCTAAATGTCCATCGACAGATGACTGGATAAAGAAGTTGTGGTCTACATATGCAGTGGAATAGTACTCAGCCATAAAAAGACTAAAATAATGCCATTTACAGCAATGTAGATGGACCTAGAGATTATCATACTAGGTGAAATAAGTCAGACAGAAAGACAAATATGATATGGTATCACTTACTTGTGGAATCTTTAAAAAAGACACAAGTGAATGTATTTACAAGCTAGAAATAGATTTATAGACATAGAAAACAAACTATGGCTACCAAATGGAAAAAGGGTGAGGAGGGAGGGATAAATTAGGAATTTGGGGTTTATAGATACTAACTACTACATATAAAATAGATAAACAACCAAGACCTACTGTGTAGCACAGGGAACTATATTCAATATCCTGTAATAACCTATAATGGAAAAGAATAAGAAAAAGAATATCTAGATATATAGAGATCTATAACTGAATCACTTTGCTATACACTGAAACTAACACAACATTGTAAATCAACTATACTTCATTTAAAAAAAAATCTCACGAACAGCTAACATTCCTGAGCAAAGAGCTGCATTTCTCACCTGTCTCCCTGTCTCTGCATGGCGGACAGTGTGCTGAGCATGCTCTCAGGGCCCCACAGGCTGTCCTGACAATCTGACACCCTAGAGCAGGGCTCATACTGACCACCCTGCACCTCTCACTGGACGGTGTTTCTAAACCTGCTTTCTGCACGTACACTGTGGAGAACCATGCAGAGGTTAGAAGCAACGCCAAAATCGGCACACAGCCACTGGCTGGATCTTCCGAACAAAACGAGGAGTGGAAAGAGTGAGAAACAGCACATGCAATGTACAAACACACACATTCAATAGACATAGGAAAGTAATCTAACTGAGAGCCTATAAAATAAAGGTTAAGTCGTTCACAGTCGGGGAGGGGGAGAGGATAAAAGGAAATGGATGGAAAATAAATGTTTTAATAAAAACAGTCTGGAGTCTTAGCAGGTATGTGGCATGGATTCCCAGCGCCTGAGTGGTGCTGTTGCATTGTGACCCATGCTGACGCATCCCCACCCACAGGCGGTGCTCCTTCAGAGTCCAGTGTCCAAAGCTCTATACCCACCCTCACCCTTGGTTGGGGGCCTCACAGGGCCTGAGCTTGGTGATCCCCACCTCTCAGAGCCCAGGCACATCAGTTCTGCCCACCCCTCCAACTTCTCACTTGGATCCTACAAACCTTCTAGTCTTCCTGTCCAGAGAACACGTCTTAGGGACGGTTGGAAAGTAAAGAAGCCCTCTCGTGCCAAAAGAGCCTGTCTTTGCAGACCTGTAACCTTGCGTCCAAGTTCAGAGGAAATCTGGGCCTCACCAGGGCGTTAAATGCAGCTGCAAGATGTAAGAGGCGTTTTGTTAACTTCTGTGAGCAGGGAGTTCCAGGGCTTTCTAAAGGGCTTTCTAAAAATATCCATTGTGTGATCATTTATGGTTTTCCTAAAGTTAACTTAGGAAGGACCAATTTTTTAAAAAAGTTGGCTTTACAGAGTGACTGTGCCCTTGAATTCGTTTCCACAGCAAGTCCTTACACTTAATAACTCTCTCATTGCATCAGCGGTAGAGTGAGCTCCGGGGAGTAGTGCCACCTCCCACACAGTCACATCACCAGTCTGCAGGCTTGTCTTGAGAAGTCCCTCCCGCTCAGAGGAAAAAAACTCTGAGACATATTAACACTCATTCATCTGCATTCTCGTCGAGTTTCTTGTAAACCTGATACACTTTGGTCTATCCATCCGTTTGAAATGGACATTTACATGTTCCAAAAGTCAAAGTCAAAGTAAAATTTGACTTTTTAACTTTTATTTACTCCTATTCCGACCCCTGCCCCTCCCCCCACTTCTACCAGCAACTGAGAACCATTCCAATTAATTTCTTTTTCCTTCCAGGATTTATGGAAATTGAAAAATATAAGCACACATTCTTATTTCTGATGTTTTGACTGATATAAAGATAAAGGAATTAAGGCATTAAGATAGAAAATCATTTTTAATGATCTGGGAGCCCTTTCCTGCTCTAGAGAAATCTTAATTAAGAGCATATGCTAATGATGCACCTTTCAGCTCAAGAGCACGCTCAGGCCAATGGTGAAAAGAAAATATGAAACTTGTGTTTCCGTCTCCCTTTATATAACACACTGCGTTTTTCTTTCTTTCCACGTATATCTGAGACATAAACAGCCTCCAAGGGCCACTGATTATGGACTGTTGCTATGAAGACGATCCTGCTGGTGCGGTGACATTATGTGACATTTGCATAGCCAGAAACAAAACCATGCCCTCTGAAGAGGTCACAGGCACACTCTGATCAGTGCCAAGAGGAGAATCTCATCTTTTGAGATGCTTTAGCCTTGAAAGCTAAGGATTCAGGCCGTGAAATTCAAAATAGACTTAGCTTGAGATGTGCCCCGAGGATGTGCAGTCCCGGACGCAGCAGGTCCAGGAGAAGCTCTGGTGTGATGCCCTGTGCCGCCACCTCTGGGTTTGGGCAGATTCTTTGGCTGCGCAGTGTGCTCCCTCCAGCCATGGTCCAGGCTTTCTGGTACCTTCTGAGAGGGTTTTGGGCTAACGTCCCAGGAGGCTTGAAGAGAACTTAGCAGACTTTTTGACCGATGAGGCTGCAGAAGTCAGAACATGTTAGGTGTTAGATGACTCAGACTCACTGTGTGACGTTGAGCCGCCCCCCTTTTTTTTTGCTTCTTTGAGCCTCAGCTTCTTTATCTATAAAATGGGAGAATTATCCTCATCTCACAGAGCCCTGAGAGGCCTGAGAGAGATGGCTGGTCTTACAAGCCTCCTGTGGAAGGTCTGTGATCCTTCAAAACCCTGCAGGGTCTGCAGGCTGTCTGGTCCGGGCTCTGGAGTGTTGTCCGTAGGGTGTGGGCAGGATAGACTCTGCTGTGGACAGAGGGTGATCCTCACAGCAGCCGTGAAACTGCTCTTACTCGTTCTTATTCATCGCCATCGCCAAGACCAGTCTCCTTATCTTTGATGCTAAGTCATAAAAATGGTTACCACTTGCTGCCTGTCCTTACAGATGGGGAACATGCCTGCTATCCTGCTGATGGAATTTACCCACCATCAAAAACCCAAATTCTAGTCAGTATCTGGATAACTTCAGGGAAAGGGCCCACTTTTCATGCATTTGTCTAAATAGGCTTGCAAGAAATTTTTTTTTTATTAATCTGGATTGAGGTTTCACATGGCTCCCTTCTTTCCATTGGAGGGAGAAACAAGAAATCAGTGATTTCTCTCTAGCATCATCTATGCAAGTAGGCAATATATGTTCATAATACACTTTAGACCAGAGGCTGGCAAACTACAACCCTGTTGGCCAAATCCAACCTGCCAACTGCTTTTGCAAATAAAATTTTATTAGAAGAAACCCTGTTGGTGGGAGAGGGAAATAGCTCAGTGGTAGAGGGCATACTTAGCCTGTCCGAGGTCCTGGTTCCCAGTAAATCCATATAAAAAAATTTTTTTTGGAAAAAAAGAAAAGAAACTTCTTTGTTCCTTTGCATATTTGAGAACAGATCTGGGTGGTTGCGACAGAGACCTTATGGACAGCAAGGCTGAAACACTACAATCTGGGCCTTTATAAAAAGTCTGCCAACCCCAGCTCTCACAGTGCTTTCTCCAGAATCATCTCATTCAGTCGTCACTGCAGCCTAGTGGATTAGGCAGAGGGTCCTAAATTCCCTTAGTTCACAACACCTTTGTCTTGGAGTTTTTTGTTTGTTTGTTTTGGATTTTTTCACAGAGCACCTAGGACAAAAGAAATACCTAGCAGTTCTGTGATTTAGACAGGTCAAAACCACTTACTAAATATTTATGCCTTGACGGCTCAGCATCTGTTGGCATAGCACCTCTCAGATCTTGGGAGCACGCTCCCCTCATTTTCTGTTCCACATGACTTTCTTGGCACTTGCCTTTTCTCAGGACAAGTTCTTAAACCTGCTTTGCGACAAAGGGGCCTCATACAAGGAATGTAGCCATCTACTGTGACAGTCTGAACTGCTTCAAGCTGGGGGTTCATGGGGTAACTGACACCTGTTACAAGGTTGCCCTTGAACAATTAAAATCTCTGGGAGGGGGGTGCCCCTGGGAGTTTGCCATGGCCCAGTAGGGTAACTCACACGGAGTTAGAGGTGGTGGTCCCTGGTTACAGATGAGGAGGGATCAGAGAGGGTGACTTGCCTAGCTCAGGACTCCCTTAGAAGACAGCCCCTTCCCCCTACAGGTCCGTCTCTCCCCCGAGATTGCAGTGCGCCCCTGGCTCCTTGCCAGGGTGATTTTCTGCCTTGCTTTATAATTGCCTCACATTGGATTCAACCACTGTGACGTGTTGGCACCGTTTACATGTGTAAACTCTCCCAGGAAGGCCTGGGGACCTGTCACCCCCAGGAGTGGATCACTCCCAGGGTCTTCGAGGTGGAGCTGGTGTTCTAGGATACCCTGGCCGTCGGGATCAGCGGCTGCCCCCTTCCCAGCCGCTCTGCTCCTAACGCTGCGTTGTCTCCGCAGACCAGAGTCATCCTCCTGAACTGGTGCGCATGGTTCCTGCGCATGAAGAGGCCGGGGGAGGACAGAGTGCGGCCGGCCTGCCAGCACAAGCAACGCCGCTGCAGCCTGGCCAGCGTGGAGATGAGCGCCGTGGCCGGGCCGCCCGCCGCCAACGGCAACCTGCTCTACATCGGCTTCCGCGGCCTGGACGGCGTGCACTGCGCTCCGACCCCCGACTCGGGTGTCGTGTGCGGCCGCCTGGCCTGCTCCCCGACGCACGACGAGCACCTCCTGCACGGCGGCGGGCCGCCCCCCGAGGGGGACCCGGACCTGGCCAAGATCCTGGAGGAGGTGCGCTACCTCGCCAACCGCTTCCGCTGCCAGGACGAGAGCGAGGCCGTGTGCAGCGAGTGGAAGTTCGCGGCCTGCGTGGTGGACCGCCTGTGCCTCATGGCCTTCTCCGTCTTCACCATCATCTGCACCATCGGCATCCTCATGTCTGCGCCCAACTTCGTCGAGGCTGTGTCCAAGGACTTCGCTTAACTCGGGCCGGGTCCCCGGCATGTCGGAAACACACAGATGGGCGATGTTGTTGTGCTTCGGGAGAACTCGGGGTGCTGACCCCTCAGCAGCGTTAAACATGAGGGTCCGATGTACAGTATCGTTGTCACTCATATGGCTTACAACTTCCTTGTCACTTTCAGTAACAGTCTCGGCACGTTTCTGTTTAACCCTCTCACATGGGCCATCTGATACCCTTGGAGCATCTTTATGGTTGGTCAGCAGCACCACCGAGAGGTCACTCGGCCCGTTGCCGACTGCCTGGAGAGCCCTGCAGAGAGGTCCGGGTAGCTCAGGACTGACTGCCTGGGGAGGCCTGGACAGTCGGTTTTGCATGCCTGCACGTCACCCGCCGAGAGGTCCTCACTAAAATCCAGCATCTGCTTTTGCTGTCTACAAACCTAGATTGATGTTAGTAATAGTAATAATAAACCACCTTGCTAAACCATCCAGTAATTGACCGGTGAAAACAAACGAAGCTAAACTAAAACGAAAACCCCAATGGCTGGTTTTCCTTTAGTTCAGACTTCATTTTTCTCTACCAAAGACTGTTGGTAGAGAGAAACAGTTTTATGCTATTTTGACACTTTAGGAACGAGACAGTCATAGTTGGTCTTGTACATTATCCCTTTACCAGTCTGATTTCTGCCAACCTACCCCGTCAAGAGAATTAGGAAGGATTCAGCTGTGTGTTGACTCTGAACCAGGGCCAGACCCAGTTAAGTCAGGTGGCTTTCCGTCAACCCCAGGCACCCCCAAGCTTCCTGTGCTGCCCCAGACACTGGCCAGGGTTGAGGGTAGTTTACTGAGTCTGTTCTGCTCGGCAAAACCCAAAGGGCAAATAGAGTTCAGTAAGAATTACTGCCCAATGTAATAATAGCTGAAGCTAGATTAAACCGTCTATGTGTTTCTTAAAAAAATAATAATAATGCATTGGCTGCTTCATACCTATTGGACTTGATTAATCTTAGAAATTTGGGGATCCATACAAATGCCCAACATAGAGTAAAGTGTTCTATGATTTTCTCCAAGTGTCAGGGCCAGGGGGCGGGGCTGGGACCTCTCTTGCTCCCTGCGGGGTGGCATCTAGGAAGGGGATGGCGTGACTGACGGCTTTCCTGGGGAACAGGCCAGTGGTGGTCAGCAGGAGGGGCTGCACAGCCAGTAGCTCCAGTTTCTGGTTTTCGGGGATCTACTCCCCCCAAGCTTATCACCCAACAAGCTGGCTGAATGGGTGGATTCACTGGAGATGTGTGTTTTGAAACCAAGGGAAACTTTATTTTAACTCCAAGTTGTGGCACGGTTCTCCACTTACATTGTCTAGCTGATGACAGTTACTTTGCCTCTTCCACTCTTACTGTTTAATGAGATCAGAGGAATACACAAGACAGTGTCTTTGTTCTCTTGTTCCATCCAGGGACTCTCAGAGCCCAAAACTGCAGAAGGCTTCTAATCTCCTGGGCATCTTCAATTTGCTTCTAATGCCCAAAATGGCTACATCCTGAAGGAAGATAAGATTTTTCAGAGCAAAAGAAATTGCATACACGTCTCCAGTCATTTATTTCATTCTGTTCTGGATAACACCATGGATTTGTTTGCACTGAGGAAGGTGGAGGCACTTGCATGCTCTGTGTGTGTGTGTGTGTGTGTGTGTGTGTGTGTGTGAGTGCTATGTGCGCACCTTCAGAGAAGGTACCTAGTTTACAACAAGAAGGTTGATCAATAAGGGAATTCCAGCATCATGTCATTCAGAGCAGGGCCGTCCTTAGGGTACCCTGGTTCGATGGGATGGATGAATAATACACAATCTTTTTTCTTTGTTTGTTTGTGTTTTTGTTCTCTTACACTGTCTTTAGAAACAACTAGAAGTGTTCTATATATAAAGAGAATGTTTCATCTCTTATTGCTCTTTGAAATTGATCCCTACTACCTTTTTGCTTCAAAAAAAAAACTTTTTGGTTTTGTATTTTATACAGAAAAATATTTAAAAAGCAAACAAAAGGAGCTCTTATTTCAACCACCTGAATAATGACTCTGCGCATTTTATAACCTTCAATGAAAAAGAATATAAAAATGAATATATATATGTCTATGTATGACTGGGACCTTATGTTGTAACACCAGAAACTGATGCATTGTAACTGACTATACTTCAAAAGAAAGTAGTAGTAATTAGGAGAAGATGCACACATAATATGAAAAGAAAAGGGGTGAAAATGAGGGCCCCCCACATCCCTGTTTCCTCTTCTCACAGGGGACCACCAGTAAGCTCCTGGGGAGGGTGGGCATTTCCAGGAAAGGAAGAAGGGACGGGAGACAGGGGGCATGGAGAGAGACCTTCCTTTTCAATCCTTTCTCAGCACCCTGCACTTCGCTTTCTTAAGAGATCTTTCCATAACGACATAGAAAATTGTTCTTAACTCTTTCCAGTAGCTGCTTAGGTTTCCGTGGTCCCCGTGTACTGCAATTCCTTTGGTTAGTCTTTTACTAGTGAAAGTAGAGAGTATTTCCTGTCTTTATTTTTATAGACAGATGGACTTCTATCCAAGCATCCTTTTGTGACTGTATCTTATAAATTCCAACTTGGAAATGGAGTTACTGTTAAGTTAAGGTTACATGCATTTAACATTTGTGTTGATATTGCCAGATTATTCTTCAAAGATTGATCACTGGATACACTGACCAAGAGTATAATGAAAGGGTCCATTTCTTAGTTTTTGCAGCTGGGTATTATCAAATAACTGTTTTTCCAGTCTGGTGAAAAATGATATTGCAGTGTTATTTGGATTTAGTTCGCTTTGTTATGAGTGAAATTGAACATCATTTCAAATGTTTTCTGGTAATTTTCTTTTTTGGTAAACTTATGTCCTTTACACAATTTTGGCTTTTTCTAAAATAATTTGCCTGTGTATTTTGAAACCTTTCTGTCTTATGTCTTCAAAACATTCTTATTTGTCTTTTGATGTTATTTATTGATTTGCTTATGTATTGTCATATATATGAAGTTTAAAGTTTTATGTTGGCAATTTATCCATATTTTCCTGGTTAGATCCTGGAATTTTTTTCCAGTCCTAAAAAGGCCTTTCCCATTCTGAGATTATAAATAAATCTACTCATATTTTCTTCTAAATCCTTATGGTTTCATTCATTTACCTTTACATCTTCAGGATTTTATTTATTGTAGGAAATGGAGATAAAGATGTGTTTTTTCCCCCTCCAAACAGTCAGTTGAACCAACAAAATATATAAGAGTGCATATTCTGTCATACAATTATAGTCGATTCCTCATTTGTCCAAAATGTCGCCTTATTTGTAAGCTAAATTCCTCTGTTTGGGTCTACTTCTGTTTTATTGATTTGTCTCCCTTTGAATGCCTTTTGTTCCCGAGGTTTCATTCCTATTAGTATAATATATTCATATTTATATAAATATTTTCAATTCAAGTCTACCTTCAACACTCTCTTGCTCTCTCTTTCTCTTTAACTCTTTCTCTCTCTCACACACACATTTTTTAAAATTGGGATCACAGTGAATTTATAGATTAATTGAGTCCTTCATCTCAAGAATACTGCAGTCTAGGCTTGCATTCAAATCTAATTCTGTGTCACCTGTCAAGCTTTACAGTCTTGTTCAGATAGGATCCATGAACTCATTATTGTCTATTTCTAGGTATTTTATCATCTGGCTACCATTTTCAGTGGAATGATTTTTTTCCATTTTATATTCTAACCGGATGTACGGGAAAGTGGTCGATTTTGTATATCAGTGTTACCATCAGACACCTTAATTGTGATTTATTACTGTTTCTAAGATTTCCTTTTGCCTCTCCCTTTGCAAGAATTCCCCTTGTTTCTTCCTCTCAGCCAACTGCATTTGAGAACAGTGTTAAGTGATAGTGATTCGGGTGGCCTGTCTGTCTTGTTGCTGGCTTTAATGGGATGGTTTAATGTCTCACCATTTAACTTGTATGAAGACATGTATTTTCCTTGTCATAATAAAAAAAGTGTATGTGTATTCTCAAACTACCAAGGCTTTCTGGGGAGAATGTAGATGTTGGTCACAGCCTTCTCAGTATCCCTGGGGATGATCAGAAGGGGTTCCCTGTTGTACGTGGTCTTATTTTAGCAGATTCCTTCAGACCAAACTGCGATTATGTTCCTGAGATAACCTCTACCTATGATTTTTGCTGTCAATATTCACATGTGAGGTGAATCATTCTGCAGCTTGCTTTTGTGTGCATAACAAACAGAAAGAAACCAAAAAAAAAAAAGGCTCTCTATTCTGCAAGCATTTACTTGGCTTCAGAATCATCTTCTACTTAAGTGTAAAATCTCTCACTGGGGTCGGGGGTGTCTGGGCACCCACTGGGGTACTTCTGGGTTTCTCCCATTGGGCAAGTTAGGTACTGGAACACTTCTAGAATCAATTTTACGTTACATATTTTTTTAGAAAATGAATTTCAGTCCATTTTTCAGTATATTTTCCTAGTTTTGCAATACAAGAACTTCGGATTTTTTTAGTTTCCTCTCTATACACGACAATTTCTCCATGACTCATTTCTAATCGTGTGTATTTCTCCTTTTGTTTTCATTGCTTAGGCTTGCCAAGGGTCTTACCCCTCTGTATGTTCAGTCGCTGAACCCTTAGACTTATTTATTCAAGTTGGGGAACTGGCTGCAGCCCCCTGTTGCCCCTGGGCTGACCTGACCCTTCCTGGGACAGCAGGTAAGCCTACAGCAGGAGTCACAGCAGGGCTTGGGGGCCAGGACAGGAGCCTCACTTGGCAGCAGGAAACAGACGGTCAAACCAGGCCATCTTGAAGTGCACATTGTGGTGGCATTAACTACATTCACATTGTTGTACAGCTGTCACCACTGTCCATCCACAGAACACTTTTCATCTTGCAAAACTGAAACTCTGTCCCCATTAAACACGAATTCCCCACTTGCCATCCCCCAGACCCTGGTGACCACCATTCTACTGTCTGTTTCTATGAATTTGAATGAAATAATGCCATTTGCAGCAACATGGATGGACCTAGAGATTATCATACTAAGTGAAGTAAGTCAGAGAAAGACAAATTACACATGATATCACTTACATGTGGAATCTAAAATAACGAGACAAGTGAACTTATTTACAAAACAGACTCACAGACATAGAAAACAAACTTATGGTTACCAAAAGGAAAAGGGGAGGGATAAATTAGGAGTTTGGGATTTGCAGATACAAACTGCTATATATATAAAATAGATAAATGACAAAGACCTACTGTATAGCACAGGGAACTATATTCAATATCTTGTAGGAACCTATAATGGAAAAGAATATGAAAAGAAATATATATTATATATATATATTTATAACTGAATCACTATGCAGTACATGAGAAATGAATACAATATTGTAAATCAACTATAATTTTTTAAAAAGTAAAGAACTGTTTTTGTCACTCATATGTGCTGTCTTCATTAGTTGTGAATAAATTTTATTTTTGCTGAACCAATTTTCCTTTGAAAGGTTAACTGTTCAATACCATGACTGTGGGGGACACTCGTGGTCCCTAAAATTGCTTCTCAATGGGGCTGAGGCAGTGGAGAACGAATGTCCTGATGACTATGCACTTAGAACTCCCTGAGGAGCATTTTAGGGCTATGTTAACGCACCACCAAAGGATAAGCTTGGGTGGGCAGTGGGAAGAAAACATCTCCAAGGCACTTTAGGACTTGCAAGTCTGTTTGCTCCACATCCTCTGTCATTTCTCTAGTGCAGAGAGGAAATCTAGGTGGGCTGCCTCACCTGCAGGGCCAGCTCTGCCCCCGCTGGTCTCCTGTACCCTCCTCACCTTATCCAAACCTCTGTCTCCCCATCTTTAGGGAGCAAATCATCAGTACTAGTAACTGCTGATGCAGGAGGCTGGATACAGCCCGGAACACGGGAGACAATCAGAAAATGTCCACTAAGTTTCTCTGCTTCACGATCAGACCTCAGCCTTTCCACACAGGGACACCTGATTCTTGATTTAAAATACTTTATGACAAACAGGCTGCCCAGTCCTGCTACAGGCATCCCTTCCAAGTTTAACCAACTCCTCCTGCTCCTGTTGGCACTGACATCCAGCAACCTGTTCTCTGGTGTGAAAAAGGAAAGTTTAGAGAGACAGTGCTGGCTGTCTCTTTCTAGTGATATTTTCTAGGACTCCAAACTGAAAAGCAGAAGTCAAAAATGAAGAGAGGGACTTTGGCAGCGAGTCCTGGAAGAATCTGGTGGAGTCCCTAGGAAGGGGCTGTTACACATAGAAACCAGCAGAGATCTTGCCCAGAACAGCTTTCTGTTGAATGCCTCCTAGGGGTTCTGCATGTTCCCAGATGGAAGGTGGGTAGCTTATCTACAGGGAGCTGGAGGTCTGATGGACAGAGTAATAAACAAAAAAACGGACACAGACAGGAATGGGACAGCATGAATGTGATGGGGTGAAGACCTGGGTGTAGGGGGATGGGGTCAGGCCAGTCTCCCCAGAGGCAACCATATGCAGCAGGCAGTGAGAGCATGATTAGAAGTTACCCAGCAGGGAGAAGGTGTGGAGGAAAGGGAGCCCTCCTACACTGTTAGCAGGAACATAGTTTGGTGCAGCCATTATGGAAAACAGGATGGAGATTCCTTTAAAAAATAAAACTAGACTTACCCTATGGTCCAGCAATCCCACTCCTGGGCATATATCTGCAGAAGACTCTACTTCAAAAAGTCACATGCATCTTAGTGTTCACAGCAGCACTATTTACACCAACCAAGACATGGAAACAACCCAAATGTCCATCGACTGGTGACTGGATAAAGAAGCTGTGGTACATCTATACAATGGAATACTACTCAGCATAAAAAGAATAAAATAATACC